GCGGTCAACATACAAAAGGCACTGCATTGTGTTTTAAATATTTTACTTCTTGTCCTTTTAAACACCTGCAAAAGGGAGTAGTGAATTAGAAACCATTCAAAACCCCAAATCTCTTATGGAATTATATAGTGTTGGTGAAACTAAGAACTCATTTGGGGAGGGGAAGATTTTTAAGCCTTAGTAATTTTTTGTAAGTTCTGTTTAAATTTCAAGCGATGACCTTTCCTTCTTTGTTTTGTTTCTTAAATTCCACATATAGTATGGAATCATATAGTGAAATCATATAGTATTTGTCTTTCTGTGACTGATGGGGATTAAAGAGTGCACTTGTGATGAGCACCGGCTGGTGTCTGGAAGTGCTGAGTCACTGTATTGTACACCTGAAGCTAATATTACACTGCATGTTAACTGTACTGGAATTAGAACTAAAACTTAACATGAAAATAAATAAATAAATTTCAAGTGTTAATAGTAAGCACACCTTATGAATCGTCATTAAACCTTCTCTACCAGTTAGGCTATTCAAATACCTAGGTCATTAAGCGTGCTTTTCAATCTTAGAGAAAAAGTTTTCATTCTAGAGGGACAAGAAAATGTTATGTCAAAAAGAGGCTCCTTTTTCTTTTACATGCATTGGCAGGAACATCCAACTTGGAAAATTTACCGCTTATGATTGGGCAAAGTCAATTTTTCAGATTTACCGGAGAGTCTGTCTCAATCTGCTTAGTTAGCCAAATAAGGAATGCTTGTTTAGATCTCTGTGTCCTAAACATTCTGAAACTCCCTGGCTTCTCTTACCTTCAGAGAGACATGATTAATACCATAGCGGTTCAATAAACAAAAGGAACTCTCAGGCCAAGTGATTTGCCTTCCAATTTTCCTTTAATTAAAGCTGATTCTCTGCCTAAATGGAGACTCACATTCCTCTTGACATTTTATCTCTTTCCATAATCCCAATAGTGTATCTTCTGGTCAGACCTGCTGGATGGGCATACTGTCCAGAGCAGGAGCCCTCACTTTTCTGATTCAGGAGCTCTGGGCTCACCGCATTTATGCCCAGGGTTGCGGAGCTCACAGCAAGGGGACCCGACCCCACCAGATCTTAGAAGGGAAGCCAGGGCAAGCGCCACTCAAAAACACTAGGCATAATGATGACTTGAGCCCCTGCTTGGCATACCTGCCCTTCATGGCATACAGACATGTTCGCCTCTGGGCCTGGCACACTTGAGAAGGGCCTGGGATCACTGGCATTTGGACCTGTGAAGAAGTGAGCCTATGGCTTCCTATGGCTCAGCTGGCTCTAGCATGACCCAAATCTGTTCCCCAACCTCCACCAGAACTGCCCATTGTGTCAACGCAGTGGGAAAATGTTTCCAATCCTCTGGGATCCCTCCACAGGTGGGGAGTCATCAGGCCAGGAAATACCTCTGTGTTTCCTCAGACCTTCACCCCCAACCCCGTCCCATCTCCAATGAGAAGTGAAAACTCCAAATCCTGGCTTTCTTTCATGCATCAGGGTCAACACCTTGCCCTGCCTCTCAACTAGAACTCCTGCCTGGCTCCCTCAAGAGGCGTCCCCTCCCACGGATGATGTGGGGGGGGGCCTTTGCTTTTGTCGTTTTCTTTCTATTTTCAATAGTTTCGGATCTCTTTTCTGCATGCAATACTTGTAACAATAAGATTTCTGTTTTAAAAATATAGGTTTTATTATTATTCAGGTATGGCAAGACCAACCGATCAGGAGATGACTATCATTAACAAGATAGTTTTTTACTCACAGAACCCAAAAGAAGGCGGCACCCCATGCCACGGGATGGGGATGGCAGCACCCAGTGATGCACCCAGGGAAGGTCAGAAGCCAGAGGGAGTGAGGTGCTAAAATGTGGACGAGAGCCTTTTTTGTGGTTTCCGAGGGAAAGAACAGTGAAGCAGGGTGAGCAGGCTTAGGGTTTCCTTATTTTTCTATTTTATTAAATGACGTGTATACATTCCGTAAAATGCCTCTGTAAAACTCAACTCCATTTTGAGAATTTGTAGGGACAGTCTTCATCATTTCCATTTATTTGTGTATATTGTTCTATGTAATTTCTCTGTTTCTTCTCATACCCACTTTGGAATTTATATTTTCCCAGAAATATGTTTATTTTATATAAGTTACCAAATGTATTATCATATAATCTTTTCTTCCTGAGTCATGAATTTTTCTACTACTTCTCCCTTTCTGTCCATTTTTTTCTCTTCTTGGGGATTTACATTAATAATTCTATTGCTAGTCTACATCTACTTAAAATTCCTGGTAATCTTGGGGTGCCTGGGAGGCTCAGTCATTAAGTGTCTGACTTCGGCTCAGGTCATGATCCCAGGGTCCTGGGATTGAGCCCCTTATTGGGCTCCCTGCTCTGCCAGAGGCCTGCTTCTCCCTCTCCCACTCCCCCTGCTTGTGTTCCCTCTCTCGCTGTGTTTCTCTCTGCCAAATAAACAAATAAAATCTTTACAAAGAAAAAATTCCCAATTATCTCCATCTCTTTTTCTGTGCTTCTTGGGAAATTTCCTGGAGCTGTTCTTCCAGCCAACTACTTTACTATTTGGTTGCATTTATCCATTATGTATCCCTTTATTAAAGTGTTTATATTAAATATTACATTTATAGCCTTTCCAGTTGATTCTTCTTCAAAACTGATAGTTCCTACTTCATATTATCTTTTACCCCTTTTGATGATATTTATTAAGTGTATTATGAGTTTCTTTGTATTTCTCCAACCTATCACTTCTGGGAGATCTAGTATTCTCTTTTCAGTTGGTTGTCTTTCTTTTATAAAAGCAGCTGTGCTGCTTGAATATCTGGGAACTTTTCCCTGGGAGCTCATTCTCCCTGGGGCAAGTCAGCTATCCTGCCTAGAAAGTATGTGAGTGTGTGTGTAGCGTAAATTCAAACATGTATGACACTCAGTGGGTTTAATATGGTGGGAGGTGGTGTCTGGGGAGAGGGGCGGGTGGTGAGTGGCCTCCAGGGCAGCAAGTCGACCACCACCGGGCAGGATGGAGCCACTCATTTGCTGCTTGTAGACCATTACCCTCCTTTACCTTCTCCTTCCTGGCCCTGCGCTTTCTGAGCATTCTCTGCTGGGTGTACATGCCGAGCCCTAAAGGTCGGAGGATGGACTAGAGAGGAAGAAATCAGCAGGAGCTGACATGTCCTCCAGCCCCTGTTTCCAACCTGGCCTCACCCGGGCTGGGAACTGACTCCTCTCTCATCGCGTCGTTCCCACACCAGCCCCCACAGAGCTGGGCTGACACTCCTGGTACTACTGTCTCATAATGACAGGGAGCAGATAGTGACCCTTCAGGGTAAGAAGATACAAAGAAATGTGCCCCCATCTTCCCCTTGACTGGAAGCCCAGCACGTCCCCAACTGGGCTGCATTCATCGAACAGTACTCTCACTCCGATAAGAGGTAACTCGAAGTTTGGGTGAAGCAACGCAGAATCCCTCCAACTAGTACTCCCAACCCAGGAACAAGCTTAGATATTAATACACGAGCTCATGGGCTGAGCCAGCTGAGCAGGGCTTTCCTGTGCCTCAGAACTGAAAGCTTAGCAGGTGCACACAGACTGGGGGAAGGACCTTCCAGGGCACCCAAGGGACTTGGTGGAGCTGCCCTGTCCATTCTGAAGCTTAAGAGCTTTAGGCAAGAACTCAAAGGGTGTCATTTCTGGCACATCTGCCATCTGGCCCGGCAGGGACCATCCTGAGGAACTGACCAGTTAAAGCAAGGTCCTGGCTAGAGGAGACCTCCTCTAACCACATAACTTCCAGGGACCGGCACGCCACCCGCCTGGTGCTCCACACCCTTCCTCTCCACAGCCCCTCCAAATCCAACAGCGGGGCACTCCTGCTGAGCCCCGGCTGCCAGCAGAACCAGCTCACCTTGTTTCCTCAGGGTTGCACAACCGGGAATTGACCTGTGGATGAAGAAAACCACGGGCGTCCAGTAAGTTCTCCTTTGCAGGTCTCTAGGGGCCATGACCTGGGGAGACTGTTCTAGGCACCAAGTCTGGCTTTTCTTGTCTTCCCGTGTGCCCAGCATGGAGGGCTCAGTATAAATAGCAGCCACCTCTCCCCAGCAGGCAGGGACCAGCCGCTCTGCTCCACCGGAACTCAGGTGAGGGGCTACTCCAGGGAGGGACTCGTTGAAAAAACAACCAGACTCTCTTCTCTTTCCCAACAAGTTTAAAAATAATTATTCTGTTTTGTATTTGTCCTGTATGAGGTGTGTGCTTGCAGAGTGGCACATGGTAGACTGGTTGATTATAAGCTTTTTGGTTGAGGGCAGGCTGCTCTAGGCTGGGACAAGTTGGTCCCAGCTGCCCTGTTCCTCCATCAGTGCCACGTTGGGGACCTCTTAGCCAGCCCTGGGGGACAGGGCTGATGGGTTCAGCCAAGGGCTGTGGCTCCGAGTGAGGACCTACTGCAATGTTTCTTTCCTACATGGACCTGAAGAGTCTACTGAGAACAAATGGAATGAGCACCAGGCTCTCTGTGACCTGCCAATCCCAGAGTGGGGTGAGGGTCCTGTCCTTGCCCCCCTGACCCTCTGCTTCATTTCAGCACCATGAAGCTTTTCACGGGCCTCATTTTCTGCTCCTTGGCCCTGGGTGTCAGCAGCCAATGGTATGCATTCTTCGGGGAGGCTGCTCAAGGTAAGGTCGCTGGACGGGGGTGGCATCCACGGCCCACTAGGATTTGCCCTAAGCACTTTCAAGGGTTGTAGCTGCTGTGTGAGCTGTGTTGCCCTATGTGGTAGAATGTGCCCAGGGTTTGGGGAGCTCTTCATCAAACAGGTAGGAAGCCACAGGATTTGTGTCCATCCATTACCAGAGAAAGAGCAATCATCATTCCCAGCTGAAGGGTCAGTTTGAATAGAAGACACCGAATAAGTCTTGAAATGGCATAAAATTTCCTGCAGACAAAATGCACAGTGTATGATCAGAGCTGCCCACCTTTTCTTCTCCTTTCCCTCTCTCCCTTCATTCAGCCCTTCCTCCTTTTCTTCCTCCCTTCCCCCTTTCCTCCCTTGCCTCCTTCCTGCCATTTCCTGTTGGGATAATTTATAGACACCTTCAGCTTAGCTCTCACTGATGCTTCCTTTTGACAGTGACGCTGTCCCTGGGAGGTCTGTTTCCTACCCTTTCCTAGCCCTTAAGCAGACCAAAAAAAGGCGGGGGCACTAATAACATCTATCGAGCCCTCACTGGAATTCAGCACCTTCATGCAATGTAGAGTGACCAGCTATGCTGGTTTGCCCGGGTCTGCGGAGTTTTCCATGACACCGTCTGTGCTAACTGGGAGGCTTCGAGGCAAAGAGGGACACTACTGCTCAGGCTGGGACAGGTGCTCGCCTGCTATGGCTTCAGAACACCTTGGTGAGGCAGGCATCTTCTCCACAAGAAGGGGAGCTTGCTAGAGCAGTTGAGTCCATTGTCAGGGACTAACCACCAGGCAGCAGGTCACAGAGCAGAGGGTGGAACCCAGCTGTGCCTGAGTTCAGAGCTCTTGCCAGGTACATGTGTCTGAGTATCACTCCCGAAAGCTGGGTGGCTCTCAACCTCCGCTACGTGTTGGACGCACCAGGACAGCATTACAACCCCGGATGCCTGAGATCGATCCCCGCCCCCGCCCCCGCCCCGAGAGGCTCAGGTAACTGGCCTGGGGTGTGACCTGGCCTCTAGGACTTTCAGAGCACCCCGGTAATTAGAAAGTGCAGCAAAATGGTGAGCGTTGTGAATTGTGCAAGACTGTTGAATCACAGATCTGTACCTCTGAAACAAATAATGCAACATATGTTAAGAAAAGAAGAAAAGAAGAAGAAGAAGATAGCAGGAGGGGAAGAATGAAGGGGGGAAATCGGAGGGGGAGACGAACCATGAGAGACGATGGACTCTGAGAAACAAACTGAGGGTTCTAGAGGGGAGGGGGTGGGGGGATGGGTTAGCCTGGTGATGGGTATTAAATAGGGCACGTTCTGCGTGGAGCACTGGGTGTTATACACAATGAATCATGGAACACTACATCAAAAACTAAGGATGTAATGTATGGTGATTCACATAACATGAAAACAACTTAAAGAGGAAAAAAAAAGAAGAAAATGCAGCCAAGGATGGCTCATGGGCCAGGGCTCTAGCACTGGCCTCCTCGGGCCGCCCCCATCATTGGTATGGTCCATTTAGAAAGTTCTCAGGATGCCATTTATGCCCCTAATACTCACAGGGAATCGGGTCACAGTCACGTGCCTTCCCCCTGCAAGAATAGATTTTCTAGGACTCTGGGCAGAAGCACTGTACTCCTGGGCCTTTCTCAGGATCTACCTTCCTGTCACCTGCTAACTTACCCAAGTCCCCTGGATCTTATCATCTGTGGCTTCGTTCTACAGCAGTGCTCCCCGTCCAAGGGCAATTTTGTGCCTGGGGACATTCAGCAATGTCTGCAAACAGTTCTGGTTGTGACCCTTGGAGAATACGTTGCCCACATCTAGTGGGCAGAGGTCAGGGGTGCTGCTATGCATCCTGCAGTCTCAGGACAGGCCTGAGCAACAAAGAATTATCTGGCCCCAAACCTCAGTGGTGCTGAAGTTGAGAAATCCTGTTCTATAATTCCTCCTTCCTCTCCTTGAACAGCTCACATAGAGCCCTAAGGGGATGGAGCCCAAGATAGCACAGGGTCAGACACACAGGTGCAACAGAGCTGTGCCCCACCCACAGCCCCTCGCTGGCGACACCTGGGGAACCAACCAGGAGGAAGACTTGTTCTTCTCAGCCTATGGTGCCCAAGGGTGCTGGGAGCACGGGCAGAAATCTTGAGTCAGTGGTAGATATGCCGTTCCTTGATTCTTCGGAACTAGGGTGTGTCACGGGCTTTCTGTCCACCTGACACCTCTTTTGCCTGATCCTTTTCTCTGCAGGGGCTTGGGACATGATGAGAGCCTACTCTGACATGAGAGAAGCCAATTACAAAAATTCCGACAAATACTTCCATGCCCGGGGCAACTATGATGCTGCACAAAGGGGCCCTGGGGGTGTCTGGGCTGCTGAAAAGATCAGGTAACATGGGCCCTGGGGATGCAGGGATGGGTGAGCTGAGCCAAGGAACTCTTTGCCAAGAGGGACCAAGCCCTAGAGAAGTTTCCTGTAGAGAATGTGGGTTCTCCTCTTGCCCCACCTCCCCTCTGTGCCCAGTGTGGGGTCTAAGTGGCTGACAGAGCCAGAGCTTGGCCCGTGGGAATGGGTGACTCCCGCCCTCCTGCAGGGGCAAGCGGAAGAGCCTGGGCTAAGCTGGGCTGTGCCTGGAGCATGGTCAATGTTTCAGCCCCTCCAGTCTTGGCTCCTCTCAGCCATCCCTTGGGAGGAAGAGAGATTGGTGGGGGTGAGGGGAAGTTGCTCCTCAGCCCCTACTTAATCTCTTACCTGCCTCTCTCCATCCCAGCGACGCCAGAGAGAATTTGCAGAGAGTCACAGACCTTTTTAAGTATGGAGACAGCGGCCACGGAGTGGAGGACTCCAAGGCTGACCAGGCTGCCAATGAATGGGGCCGGAGTGGGAGAGACCCCAACCACTTCCGACCCCCTGGCCTGCCTGACAAGTACTGAGATTCCTCTTCGTTCTGCCCTCGGGAGATGGGCTGTGAGTGCCTTGAGGGCACGGTCACCCAGACACTGAGTTCTCTGTCCCCGGATGCGGTGGAGGGCACCTAATAGGTGTCTAATAAATGCTTGAAGAGATTGACTGTTGAAAAGTGTGTGTCACTCACTCTTGGGTGTGAGAACTGCTCTTTGTCCCCCAGGGGAGATGGGTGGACACCCCCGTGCGGGTGGAGCCCGGGCCCCTGGGTTTGGTGTAGGGGGACCATCTCAGCATGACACAGGACAGACGCCCCGCACCCACCCCTCCCCGATCAGACCAGCTGCCCCGTCCAGGCCCCTCTGGTTGCTCCGGTGCTATTTCCAAGCCCTTCCATGGGGTAACAGGGGTTACCCCTCACTGCCGTCCGTGGGGTCCTGTACCTTCTCTGTCCTCAGCGTCTGGTTCCCTTTGTTTTGCTCCTCAGTGGTCTCTGTCCCTGGGGGCAGGGGACCCAGCCGTGGGAGGACGGACTGTGGCATCCAGCTCCAGCCACTGCCACCTTGATATTCTGCTGGTGTCTCAGGAGCACCTCCAAAACCAATGAGAACCAGTTTCTGTCCCTGCCATCTGAGAAAGGCGTCCAAGGCGGTTTTCCTCCACCTTATCTCACTGCCTTACTTCAAGCCTTAGTGAAGGCCTGCTGCCACCTCACTGGTGATTCTCTCCTCACGGCTTCTGCTCCTTAACGGATCCAAACTGGGGAAGCGGTGGTGAGGAGCGAGCAGGGTAGAGAAGCCCCCTCTGTCATTTGGGGTCCAGTCAGGGGACAGAAACCAGGTAGTCGTTTGAGATGGAAAATTCTAACCGAACGAATGATTAGCTGGGACATGACTAAACACTAAGGGGTACAGGATACACAAAGCTGAGCTGTGGATCTTGTTGGAAACTCGGTGGCCCGTTGGATGGCCCACAGAGATGCTGGGTGTCACAAGGCACAGCCCACAAACAAGGACTCCCCCCACTGAGGTGGCAGGAGGACACTTGGCAGGAAACGCCGAAGGCGGCAGTGGAACTGGGAACGTAGCTGGGGCTGCTGCAAGCTCCCCGGGAGGCAGCCCACGCGGGGTCAGGGGAAGATGCTGTCCGGGTGCCCGAGACTGGTGTGCAAGGGGCAGTCCTCTGGACTGAACTATGGCCCCGCCTCTCATTCATGTGTTGAAGCCCCACCTCCAATGTGGTTGCCTCCTGGATTAAGGAAGTAATGGAGGTTAAGAGAAGTCGTAAGTGTGCAACCTGGTCTATAGGATCAGCGTCTTTACGATATCAGATACTAGAGATCTTGCTCCTTCCTCTCTGCCCTATGAGGACACAGCTAGAAGTGTCCATCTGCAAGCCAAGGAGAGACCTGCCACCAGGGACTTTGCACCTTGATCTTGGACTTGTCACCTCCCAGAAAGAGGAGAAATACATTGGTGGGGTTTAAGTCACTCAGTCGGTGGTATAGGGTTAGGCACCCTCCTAACACAGGCAGAGCGCCGCAGAGCACCCTGGAAACCCAGTGAAGGGTCCCAGAAATTGCCAAGAAACTTCAGTGGGATACCATGGAAACGCCCTCTGGTGAGTGCCTCTGGGGGTCCTGCACTTGAGAAGAGCACCACAGGAGCCAGGAGGCGACCAGGCTCCCAGGGCCTGGGGGAGAGGTCCTTCTTCCTGCTTGTCCCTCCAGCGCCCTCTACCGACAAGGCTTAGCGCCCTGCTCAGCGGGCCCAAGGGACATGTTGGCAGGGTCCCACTCCAGTGTCAGAAACAGGGTGAGCTCCAATATATAGATTGACAACTGGCCTATGACTCCTCTCTGAAAAAGAAATTGAGGAGAACTCCTAAGGGAAGAAGGGTAACAATACAGTTTTATAGAGGAAAGACAAATTGCATTTGTTTGTTAAGGGGGAAATAAAAGTGTGGCTATAAAATGGTCAGCCACAAGAGCACTTAGAGTTCCTATCAGAAAGCACTGATAGCAGAGCAGGTGAGGGGTTTGCCGTGCTTGAGACTTGGTCTGAGAGGAGTGAGGCTATGCCAAAGAAGGCAGGGGCAGGAGAAACAGGTGCAGGGCCCAGGATGGCCACTGGCTGGTGAGAGCAGGCTCCGGGCACTGGGTGGGGGGGGGATTAGGGTGCAGTGTGGTACCGTCTGAACTGACCTAAGGTGAACGTATGGGCTGTTATTAATACTGTGTTACCTTGTGTCATGCCTTCCTCACCGTTCTCCCTTTCTTTCCACCTTTCCACCCCTAGCATTCTCCTTCTCTCTAAAGAACCTCTAACATTTTGTGCCAGGCAGGTGTATGCCAACAGAGTCCCTCCGCTTTTCTTCTGAGAAACTCTTTGTTTCGC